CATGAAAGAGTAGATAATATCAGGGGTGATGGCGATAAAGGATTTCAGGCAACTATGACTCATTATTTCCCACAAATTAATTTTTTCTTTTCATCCTCTCCATATACGTTTCATAATAAAATAGTTGATGCGGTAATGAGAACTCTTAGAGATGCGTTAGGGGTTAACGGTCAGATATACTGGGATGGAAATCATGACTCCATCATACAGCAGTTAGTATATTATTATAATAATACATGGCATAGAACTATAAACATGAAACCAGTGGAAATGAAAAATGATATTTCAAAAGAATGGGAATATATTAGAAAGCAAATGGAAAGGTTAAATGATGTTAAACGTGAACAAATTAATTCGGGGCTCATGAATTTTAAACAAGGGGATAAAGTTTTGATTCATCTCGATTATGGAAAAACTGATAAATCAATGACAAAAAGAAGACGAAGATTTGACACAATAGCTGAATTTGTTAGATATATTAACGGCAATGCATTAGTTGAAGTTGACAATAAATTAATAGAAATTCCGATTTATTTTATTACTCCATTATATTTAAATAATATTTAATTTTTTTATTTCGTAAGAAATGAGTGACAACAAAGCAGCCAAGAGTCCAGACAATGAATATAAAAAGAAACTAAACAGAATTAAATCAAAAATATGCTATTACAAAAAGAAGCCGCAATGCGGTGGGGTTGATGCCCATAAAACTAATGGAACTGAAAACGATGAAGAGAGAAAGAAATAATCGAAAAATTAGAAACTTACCGTTCAATCCTTAAACTGAGTGAAGCAAAAATAAAAGAATTTAATAGAATAAATAAATTGATTGGAAGAGATGAATTTAATAAAGATGAATTTTTAAACTCAATCCAAATTTAATTTTTATTCCTCTTCCCGAACCCTTCTAGGTTCTTCTTTCCATCATTACTGCATAACCGCATCTTCTCGGTTTTCGTGGTTTGTTGTTTTTAATTAGTTCTTGCATCATTTTTATCATTTCCTCCTTGTTATGATTCGTGGTAAATTTTGAGCTTGTGGGGTATCCATTTATATAAAAATAAAATTTTGTTATCGGTTATTTTATCGTTAAGTGACTCAAAGAGTCTAGAGACAAAGTCTCATGGTTTCAGGTTATTCAATAATTAATTATTTTTGAAGAACTGAAGGTGCTACCATGTTACCATGTGCTACCAGGTTAATGAACTTCTCTGAAAAAATGAGACAACATGACATTTTGACAACAGTCCTGGAGGATTAATGCAAAAATAAATTCAAATCATACTTTATAAAGCATCATTTACAGGTATTTCATCGTCAGTAAATGAATCCTCATTATCGTTTGGTTCAACCTGTTTATATAATCCTTTCATTTCTTCTTTCAAAACATAACACCATGTTTGTTTATCGTCTATTCTTCTATGTTTCCTATCACATTTATCCTTAATGCTCATTTGAAAGTTTTTGTCTTTCATGTCTGATGGTTTGCAGAATAGAGCATTTTTACATGTCATACCTGCACACAATTCATCATAATGTGTATTTATCCATTCATCTAAAGGATTTGTTGATAATTCTATTAAATCTTGTTTGGCTTCAGTCATCGGTATGATTCGTACATTAAATGATGAAAGGTCATATTGCATAAAATACGTCAGTAAATTATCATAAAATTCATTAGTGCATGAATCCATTAAATTCTTGAAGTAATCAAATTGACCCTTGAATTTACCATTAACTCTTAAAACTACGTATCTTCTGTCTCCAACTTCAATTTTGACAGGGTAGACGTTATTAGTTACCAAAATGAAATTGGCAACATTCTGAGCAGTTCTTCTGGGTTGATTCTTTTCATTAATTCTAATCTCATTATCCGTAATAATTGATTTCAAAGCGTTGAAGTTTGCGAGTCTATCTTCACCTACATTCTTGAGTTCATTAAGTACAAGAAACATTTTATTCTCAACTACTGAGTTGAAATTACCCGTTAGCTCACTTATTTCAGTAATGTTTTTACATGAATAACCGGCGAGAAGTTCAGAAATAATATCTGTAAATCTGTTTTTACCTGTTCCCTGAAGTCCTTTCAAAATAATTGCTGTTTCATTTTTGATTCCAGGATGTTGAATCATTGATGCAATCCAGCTGAGAAGGTATTTATACACTTCATCGTTATTATCACAAATGGCTTCTTTAATGAAATTCATAAACATCTCAATTTTTGAGTAATCAAGCTTTTCGAGAATGTTGTATTTATAACCTTGAAACGTTGAGAAAACATCTGGAGAATCAGATTTAAAGCAAACACCCTTAACGGTTAATGAAGACAATTGATTTAGTAGTACGTCCCACGCTGTTATGGTTTTACCTTCTTCTTTAAATAATTTAATCATTTTAAGTGACTCTTTCATGTTTGATTGAAGAACGAATGATATTTGATTCATTTTGTCGTGGATATTATAATCTTTCTGAATGAAGTATTTGTTTCCACAATCTACAAAACGGATTACACGTGATAAATCCTCAATTACTTCAGAACTGTTTTTATACTGATGATTTTCAGCCTTGCGTCTAATATCTGTTATCAAAAACGAGTCATCAAGTTTGATATCAAATGTTATTTTTGGCTTACGTAATAAAGGTAAAACATATTCATCATAATATTCCTTTTGATAAAGTTTTAGAATCTTCACCAAAACAAATGGAGAAGTCATTAAATGTGCATATCTACTACGTGCTTTTTCAAAATTACTTTTTGCATTTTCAGTTAAATTGCAGAAGTTATAAAAGTTATCGTATGCTTCATTAATTAATTGATTAGGTAACGAATTAATTGCTTGAAACAGTGTGAATAATGTAACTTCTTTTTCCAAATTCATGTTTCCACCGTCATTATGTACTTCAAAATCACTAATGCCATCAACTATGCTCTGGGCAAGTTTATCGTCAATGTTTACATCTTTGTTTTCATTTATTATACTCTTTATTTCTTCGTTCTTCTGTTCAACTCTTACCTTAATATTCAAATCATTTAATATATCATTCACTGTTCTAGTTAATGTTGAATCGTAACTTCCACGAATGAATGAGTATGTATTGATTGGTTCTGTTGCATTCTTGCGAACTCTTGAATCAGCCATAACTACTAAAGAACGCTTTGAATCATCCATAGAAGTCATGATATCGATATCATAATCATTGCAGGAATAACATTTAATCATTCTGTTCGAAACTGCATAGAAGAAATTAGTGTTGCAATAAATGTGAAGACCTCCTGAAGCGGTTTTAACGATAACATCTTTATCCGAAAGTTTTGATAAAATATCTTTTCTAACTGTTTCTTTAAGTTCATCATTGTACGATTTATTGATATCAACATCTATAATCGTTAAATTTGATATTTTATTTACTAATAAAGCCATACCAGTTTTCCTTCTTCTTCCTCCATCGTGTTTGAGGTAGTTATGTAAATCAATCTTGTTTTCACCAATTCTTTCGTTGAGGGTTTTAGTTTCTGCCACAACTAATTCCTCAGCTAATGAATCAATAACTTTTTCATCAGAAACGATATAGTTGCTGTTGTTTGTTGCTGTCATTTATATAGGAATAAAAAAATGAAACCGATTTTAAAACTAACTTTATTTTTGGGCTGCATCAAATTTCCAGGACTGTTGTCAAAATGTCATGTTGTCTCATTTTTTCAGAGAAGTTCATTAACCTGGTAGCACATGGTAACATGGTAGCACCTTCAGTTCTTCAAAAATAATTAATTATTGAATAACCTAAAAACCATTAACGTAAACATTAACGATAAAATTTATTTCCAGGACTGTTGTCAAAATGTCATGTTGTCTCATTTTTTCAGAGAAGTTAATTAACCTGGTGACATGGTGACGTAGTGACACCCTCAGTTCTTCAAAAATAATTAATTATTGAATAACCTAAAAACCATAAACGATAAAATATATTTTTGGTCGTTTATGACAAAAATAAATGGTTCATTTACTCACAATATTTTTTTACAAAACGACCCCAAACTTTTAACTTCTTTTCTGCAGTTTCTAATGCTATCTTAGCGAGTTCATATTCTCTAAATTCTCTCTTTAAATCTTCTTGTTCCCATTGGTCTAGTTCGTATGGAGAATCTCTATAACCATAATATATCTCACGTTCATGTTCTAATTGTTTTTCGCACATTTTTCTAACTTCTTCTTCAAACAAATGTTTAGCATTCTCTACTGTATCTTCGAGTTCTTCTTCATCTAATTTCTCATGAACTTTCTTGTCTATGGAGTCCATAATTTTTCCAACTGCTATGCAATATTTTGGAGAAGCCCACATTGCTATATAGTTTATAAGTCTTGGGTCTACATACGTTCCTCTAACCTGTTTGATTTCATCAGGAATTCCTGCATGAATTTTGTATAAAAAGCAACAGTCCGAATTCCGGCGGTTGCTATATTCTTCACAAAATGCCTTATAATACTCTTCCCAGGACTTATTTTCCAACAACTTTCTAAAGTCTTTCCTAAACTGCTGACACATATTTGTTGCATTAATGTAACCATCCTTGTCTCTACGTAATACTTCAATACCGTTATAAGTGCCTTTTGTGAATGTTTCGCCATTAGATTTGTTCGTAAATGATTTTGCTTCGACTGACATTTCTGTTCTTACATACAAAATAAAAAATGATACCGATTTTAAAACTAACTTTATTTTTGGGCTGCATCAAATTTCCAGGACTGTTGTCAAAATGTCATGTTGTCTCATTTTTTCAGAGAAGTTCATTAACCTGGTAGCACATGGTAACATGGTAGCACCTTCAGTTCTTCAAAAATAATTAATTATTGAATAACCTGAAACCATTAACGTAAACATTAACGTAAACATTTATTTCTGCAGTTCATCCATTACTTCATTACCTAATTAATTACAGACATAAAATATATTTAGTTCATTCGGTAAGCCTTGACCCAAAGGTCTGGGCTCAAGCACATTCAATGAACGCGGTACCATGCGAATACAGTCACAAATGGTGGCATGTAATCTTTATCCAAGCCTGTTGGATTTGTTGTGAAAGTGTGTGAATGATTTCCTGCGGTTCCACAGAAAATACCTGCGCTTGAATCTACTGGGTCAGTTGAAATATCATATCTATCCATTCCCTGTCTATCCGAACCTGCTGCAAGATTTGTATAACCTCTTTTTGTTATTGAATGTGAATGATTACCTGTTGTGTTTGTAGTTCCTGTATGAGTGTGTGGTGGAAGGTTTGCTTCTTTAATTTTCTTCGAACCTCCTGTTTGCTTTGAATATCTAGCACAGTATAAGAATTTCTCTACAATCTGCTTCCACATACCAAAACCTAAAACTGTTTCTGGATTTGTTGAGTTCATTGACGTATAAATAGAACCAACAGGATATAATGTTTGAAGTATTTCATTTTTCATGCTTGTAATCACATCATTTACTTCCGACTTCTTTGCATAATTTTCATCAACATAAGTTTTATCTGCTTTAAGATCTAAACATCCTGAAACCCATTCTGTATCAGCTTTAACTTTAAAAGTCTCAAATGTCCATTCATGATACCATTCAACCTTTTCTTTAATTTCATTATCTTTTTCATCAACATAAACCAAATTTGCCTTCTTATTTAACTCACTATCCACATATTCCTTATCTGCCTTCTTCATTATGTCATTTAGGAAACCTTCTATGAATTCCTCATTTAAATTAAATCTTCCAATCTTCAAAACTTTAGGAAATGCATTTAATGCGTAATATCTCTGTTCTTCTGGTGGAATTGATGTTATATCATCCGTTATACCTTTAATTTTAGAATTCATAAATAAAATTTCTTTTATATTTGATATCACTGCACCACCTTTGCAAACGAATTCGAAATATTCATTTTTCAATACTATCTCCAAATCTCCATATTTCAACCTTTGCGTTTGTTCTGCCGTCTTTGAATTATATGCATATATGGCGTATGTAATGGTCTGAAGGACCTGGGTGTTTTGCGCCTTAAGTTGTTGTGGTTGCTGTTGTTTAATCATTTATTATGATTTAAAAATAAATATTTAATCCGTTATCTCATCAGCTATTTTCTCTATTTGAAATTGCCATAATATTTCATTCATAAATTCTAAATCACAATCAAATAGGTCAGTTATTCTAAATTTAATATTTGATAAATCTTTTGAATGAAGAATAAATGAATTCCCGGATAATTGAAACGGATATGATAAAGAAAATGTGTTTAAGTTGATGGATAAAATGTTTTGTATTGATGGGTAAGAGTTAGGGTCTAATGTTTGATGTGAAAATCTCATTGGGGTATTAACTTTATCACATTTGATTAAAATGAAATTGGAACTAGTGTCAGAATACAAAACATCCCCAACATCTTTTCAAAATTTAATATCCCCAACAATGAACGAAGATGAGGAGTACAAAATTTAATTTTCAGCGGGAATTTAATAAGGTTATTTATTTCATCAAGTTCAAAAAGTTTATCAGGTTTTGATTTAAAATTTTCTTCATACCATACGATAAATGATTCATTTAAATAACTTAAAATCATGTTAATATCCCATTTCGCTATCACATTATTTATATACATATCATACGTTTTTTCAAGGTCATCTTTAATAAATGATATATAATCTGAAGGGTCTAAAAGAATGGGATTAAATTTACCACTCACAGAAACGAGAGTAACATTATAAATTCCGCTAACTGTTAAATTTAATTCACAGTTATTATTTGAAATAATATTGATAATTGACATTTTTATTACGATTAAAAATATGGTAAAGCGTTATTTTCCAGTGATAAATAAAACTAGAATAAGATTACCTCAAGAATTCATAAATTCAACGAATAAGAAATTCATTCATGTTATAAATTTTAGTGTTTTCAGAAAATATGAGTCAATGTCATATTCATCAACAGGTTATATTTCACTTCATTCAAATTTAGTTCAATCAAACCCATATAATGACCATTTCATAAGATTTTCAGATGGTATTAAAAATGTAATTGATAGATTAAAATATGAACAGATTGACAATATCGAATTTTTGGAATTTTGGTTTAAATATCCCGATGGAAAAAAGATTGAAGTTAAAGATAAAGCTGATACTATAACAAAAACAATTACAATGACCGATCCGGATAGTGGGGAACAAAAAGAAATAAAACAAACGATAGAAACTGGTGAAAGGTCAATTATTATTGATTATGATTCAAAGGATTATTATTCGATAATGTTAATGCTTGAATATTAAATGGCCTTAACAAAGAATTTTTCAAGTGATATTTTATATTCATCAACTATTTTATTATAAATATCATTATATGTTAAATGAAGTTCAGTTGTTGTTCCATTCTTTGATATCTTAATTGTGCTAATATCCTTTATAGGATTTATTTTTGCAACTGTTCCGCAGCATGAAACCTCATCATCTATGAAAAATTGAATCTTAACGTCTGAATCTTGAACATCACAAAGAATGGCGATAATGTGAATTAATGATTCATAAGGTAAAATAATTAAACCGGATTGGTCAATTAAATTTATTATTGAATCATAATTATTAATTATTATATCACGGTAAATTTTCATTAATTCAGAATTAATGTCTATTTTATATGGGTTCTCGATGTTTGATGAAAGAGGTGGAGGTATGTTGGATAAGTGGGAATTTCAACAGGTTCTTTACCAGGTTCAGATAAAATGATTGGGTCTCCATCTTCTTTATTTTGCTCCTCCTCCTTTTTCGGTAAGTCACGAGTTATAAATTTGGTTGAGTTGCTGACTTGTTAATTCAGGGCTAACATTAACTTTAACATTTTGAATAATTCGTGATTTATCATCATTTACGTTATAACCAACCGTAATCTCTGCTTTTGCGTTAGTGTTCTTTTGAACTAGTGAAACGTCTTCTTTATATTCGAATAAAAAAAATATATTTAAACTTTTATTTTGCTGGAACTTTTTGAATCTATTATTCCCTGTAATTTGTTCATGAAGTTGATTTTTAGCTGTTTCATCGAAATTAATAACCGAATATATTCATTAATTGCATTCTTATAATCATCTGATTTCTCAAATTTTCTTTTATCTCTGATTCCTTAACTAAATCATAAGTTAAACCACGTTGCTGTGCTGATATAATGGTTTCTTAATTAAATCTTTGAATGCTTGAGATAAAGCACCTGATGCAATTCTTGCTACTATAATTGGTTGGAATTGCTGTTTAAGTTCATCTTTAACATTTGCGAAAACTGGATCGAATAAAGCAACTTTAAAGAATTTCTTAGCTGAAATTTCAGGTCTAATATTTGCATATTGACCATCAACTGGTTAGAATATCGTGGTAATCCATCCGGTCCCTCTTCAATAGCATTTAATTCTTCATTGAAATAAGAATATGGATTATGACGGTATGAATTAATTGGACCATTTTCACCTTCTCCAATGATGTTTAACAGCTTTTCCATTTTCATCAAATTGCATAGGATAACGTTCATTATATGCTTTACGTTTAGGATAATCAGATATAGTTAATTTATAACCATTTATGACTTTAATATTACCTTGACCATCAGTAACGAAAACTTCATTTTATACCATCAGGTTTTCCATTGGACCCGTAATGTCTGCTTCGTGTGCTTCCCAATTTTGACCTTGACGTTTGGCATATGCTTGAGCTTCTGGTAATGTTAAAACGTTTCTCATTTGTTTAACATCTTTTGAAGACCAGCAACAATATGAACTAATTCTTTCATTCCATCAGGAACTTTCATAGTTCTATTATATGCACCCTTTTTGTTGTTCCTTGTTTTAATGGAACCTGTAGAAGATTTGCCATTTCTGTCATGTTTAATTATAAATAAAAAATAAAAATTAATTATAAAAAAGTTAATCAAATTTAACACTTCCTTTATTTAAATCAACTATTATTTTTCCATGTTCACCTAATTGCTGATATTGTGTGTAAAGTTCATTAATGCTCATTGGTAAATTCACTTGATAAAGCATAACGTTCAACTGTTGACGACTAAACCCACTGAAAATGAAAAGTGTTGATAGATTTGATTTAATGTTTGTGCTTAATGCTTTGAAGTATTGAACAGCCATGAAGAATGAACACTGAATGTGTCGACATTGAGTTAATAACTGATTAAAATATGATTTCTCATTTGTTATTAGTTTTGATTTCACTGCATCATCTAGAAAAATGAGTGAATGCAAAAATTCTCTATCAAAATTTGAAATAGAAAGTGTTTCAAATAATTCATCCCGTTGTTTATCAATAATTTTATCCTCTAATCCTTGCTTCTTGATTGTATTATATAATTCTTTATACATTAAAAAGTTTTTTAAATAATCTTCTGCTTCTTCTTGTGATAAATAAATAATTGGAATTTTGATTAAATGCTTTAAAGATTCAAATGTATCATCTGAAGGTGAACCTGAACGGTTGATATAAATTAACACATGTGAATGGGGGAAGTGTTAGCAATAATGATAATTTGTTTTAATATCGTTAATGTTTTACCTTTATTTTGTTTACCAATTGCTGCAGTGATTGAATTTAAGTAACATTCAGAATATGGAATTTTCATTAATTTTTCCTTAGATAGAGCATTTCTATTATCACTCAATGCTTCATTAATCATATCATCTACGTATGTATTATATACTCCCGCTAATTCTTCATAAGGGGTGGATGAATTTAAATCCATTTAATCAAAAATAAATTTATAATTTTAAACATTTCTATTCATCAATATTTCATCATATGAACTTCTATACTGTGGTGGTGTACCTGTTGGATGATATTTCAAACCTTCGTCCGGTGTCCATGTCCAATACGTAGTCCTAGTAAACCAAACCTGAGGAGGATTTGTCACCTTTGAACAGTAAGTGTCATTTTCACCCTGAATGATTGGATAAGCTTTCACTTGTACTGTAACTTGTGAATTGAAAGTTTCTAATCCATCAAAGAATATACCCGCTCCATCACGTTGAACTGGAATAGTGCATAAGAATGAAGTTTGGTCTTTCCATGTTCTAGCTAATGGCGTGCCATTATCATCATTCAGTGGTCTAGTTAATGAGTCCTCATATTCTTCTGTGCATTCATTCACTCCATCTAAATCAGAAGCTTGAAGCATACGTGTAAAGAATATATCACCCACTGTGGTCATCGCTTGATCGGGGAAGTTTCTGGAATCTATAGTGACCTGAAGACCTCGAAGCATTGGATTTTCTAAAACTGTTCTTTGCATTGCATTCTTCGGAAATGTTAACACAACATCTGTAACATTATGAAGAGCGTATGAGAAATCTGAGCTAATACCTTCAGGAGTGATGCAACCTCCATTTAGTGAACGAACGTCAATATGTTGAGCTGGAATCATGAATGGATCTTCCTTACTAAATAAACGTGGTATTGCTTTAACTGATTCTTCAATTAAACCGTATCCTGGTGTAATGCATTTATCCTCTAAAATTTCCATCTTTGTGCATGAAATAATAACGTCATCAACTGTTGCGTCAGCAGATGTAGCGGCTAAGCTTGTAATTAATTTGGCAGGAAGTCCGATTTGTTGGAATTTGCGATCATATTTATAAACATGATTCATAATCTTTTCATAATTTTCATCAGTTATCTTTTCATAAACGTAATTTTGTAAAATCAGCAACTCTTAACGGGTCAACCTGACAAAATACTAAAGTATCCCTGAAAACATAATATTTAAGAATGATATCACCAAATGATTTAGGATAATCATCGAACGCCTGAAATGCTAACAAATCATTTACCGGAATAATCATATCAAAAGTGACATCAACTTCTTCATTTGCTTTCTTGAAAACTTCTGAAGGGTCAATATATTTACCACATACTGAGTTATCATATTTTTGAACATTATTATATAACGAATGAACAAACTTTTTAACTTTCCTTTCTGATTTTGGTTTATATGTTGCAAATGCGAAAGATTCACGGGCGCAATCCATCTGAAGATAACCGGCATCACC